GCGGTGCAGCCGGGGGGATGTCGGTGAAGATGGCGCTGCGCCGGGCCTACTCCATCAAGGACAAGCTGCAGGCCATCGAGCGGGTGAAGAAAGGCGAGCGGCAAGCGTCGGTGTGCCGGGCTTTCGGGGTGCCCGGAGGGACGCTGAGGGGTTGGCTGAAGGACGAGGCCAAGCTGCGGTGGTTCCTGGAGCAGCTGGGGGGTGAGGTGGGCACCCAACGCAAGAAGATGCGTCTGGCCAACGAGGAGGAGATCGACCGCGCCGTCTACGCCTGGTTCCTTGCCCTCCGCCAGCATGGCGTCCCCCTCTCCGGGCCCCTCATCCAAGCCCAGGCCGAGGCTTTCGCCCGGCAGATCTACGGTCCGGAGTGTACCTTCAAAGCCAGCCACGGTTGGTTCTGGCGCTGGCAGAAGCGTCACGGCATCTCCAGTCAACGTATCTACGGCGAGGGCGGCCTCCCCAGCGAGCCCGAGCGGGCTCCCGCCGCCTGCCCCGAGGCTCTGCCTGTGCCGGCTGCCGACGCCGGGGGTTACGGCGATGACCAGATCTACAACGCCAACGTCACTGGGCTCTACTGGAAGCTGCTGCCGGGACAGACTGGTGGGGTGGCGGCGCGGCGGCGGCCGGCTCCCCGCGAGCGAGTCACCGTGCTGTTGGCTGCCAACTTGACTGGCTCCCATAAGCTCAAGCCGCTGGTGGTTGGGGGCCTTCGCGATCCCCCCAGCCTCCGCCATCACAACCAGGACAAATTCCCCGCTTGCTATCGCTACAGCCCAGAGGCCAGGCTGGGGCCGGCCCTTCTCCGGGCTTGGTTCTTTGAGGACTTTGTGCCGGGCGTCAAACGTTACCTGCGCCGGAGCTGCCTGCAGCAGAAGGCCGTGCTGCTTCTCAGCTCCCCGCCACCCTCCTCCGGGACGAGCCCTGAGGATTCCTCTCCGCTGCAGACTCCCGACGGCTCCATCCGCGCCCTTTTCCTCTCCAAGGGCCCTACCGGGAGCGGTTCGGCCGGAGGGGGAGGCCGAATCCCGGCCCCGCTGGAGCAAGGGGTGGTGTTGGCCTTCAAGCAGCTCTACAAGCGGGAATTGCTGCGCCTGGCCGTCTCGTGCGCAGCCGGCGGCGGCACCAGCTCGAGTGGCCCCATGGACTTTGTGAGGTCCTTCCTCCTCAAGGACATGTTGTACCTGGCTGGCCTCTCCTGGGACCTCATCCCCCCCGGCTCCATCGAGAAGTGTTGGTTGCTGGGGCTACGCGCTGCCTTTGAGCCCCAGCCCGGGAAGGAAGAGCACGGAGACCACCCGTGCGGGGAGGAAGGTGGCGGGGACAGCAAAGTCTTTAGTGACCTGACTCACCTGGCCGCGTTGGCCTACAAGCGCTTGGCTCCTGAGGAAGTGGCCGACTGGTTGCACTTGGATGACGTGGCCCCGGGTACGGAGGAGGACGATGGGGAAGAGGACGCTGAGGAGGAAGGCGCCGGGGGCTGCGGGGCAGAGGAGGATGAGGAGGAGGCGGCAGCTGCTGGAGATGGAGGGGGCAGAAGGGGTGGGGAAGGAGGGGATGCCTTGCTGCCCACAGCTCGGGAGGCCATCAGAGGTCTGGAGACGGCGTTGCGCTGGCTGGAGGGTCAGGACCCGCAGCAAGTGGGGCCGCTGAAGCTGGTGCAGCTCCGCTCCCTCATCAGCATGGCCCAGCGGCTGCGCAGCGGCGCCAGCCCCCACTCCTAGGGCAGGGTGACCCGTGACCTCTCTTGGCTACCAACCACCCCACTCGGGGTGGGGGGACACGGGGCTGGGGACACCCCGCTTGTCACCGGGGGCTGGCGGTAGAGGTGCCAGCTCCCCTCAGCCCTCCGTCACGGGCGGTCCCTGGGGGCTCGGGGAGCCCGAACGCCCCTGGGTTACCACGGCGAAGGAGGGGTTACAGTTTAGGGCTAACGGGGTGGGGAGTTGTGCAACAACCCCTCCCTATGTTGCATATTCGAGGGTTGTTCCTCACCTTAAGTATATTTAGGAGGTGCTATTTTTTAAATCCCATGGGACTGAGTGACCCCTGGGTCAGGGGGTGATGCCCCCCACACTGCTTGTTCCCCCCCCCCCCCC